AAGTTGATTAATTGCTTTTTTGATTTCAGGTATAGTGATTTGGGCATTTAAATCATTGTTGCTGTTTGTTTTGTTTTCAACAGTCCAATCAGTTTGACTAATTTCATTTAAATTGTTTTTATTAGGGCAATTTGTTTCTAAATCAGTTGATAGGCTGTTATTGTTTAAAAGCTTTTTAAAGTAAGACAGCCATTCATTGGGCTCAATTGAATTGTTATTGTTATCTAAACAATCTGAGTTTAAGTCTCGTAACAGCTTCCAAAATGTTGATGGTTCACCTTCCGAATCACTTAACTTTGATAACTGGTGCTGTTTTAAGTCATATTTTTTCCTTTTCATTAATTTTTTATATTTTTTTTTTCATGACAAAGTATTTTCCCCTAGTGAACGGATCAAGGGGATATTGCTGAAACAACTTGCCAGCAGTTTTAAGTTCATTTCGAATTTCCCAGCATTCTCTATCAAACCATAATTTGGTTTCTCTTTTTTTCTTTTTTCTAATTTTGGGTGTTATTTTTTTTGACAGTTTTGTCCGCGACTGATGACAGCAAAGCACTAAATTCTGTAACAACATCATCACAATTGTTTGAATCAATTTTGTTTATAATGTCGCTAATTTCGTTTTCTTTAGCAATTTCAAGAAGATGTCTGATCTTCGCTTACAAGTTCAGACATGAAATGAAATTATGTTGTAGTGAATTTCGCAAACACACAAATTATAATTCGACTAGGAATAATACGACTTTAATTAATTTACTCACGTGGGTGCACATGTGTATCGTTGGCATATCCATGTCCAAATAATTTGATTCAGGATAAGAAATACTTGAGCGATGTTGGTTAGCATTCGACAACAGCTGACGTAAACAGGAAGTGATTTCAAAATTCCCGCTGTTCGGTAAGGTGGTATATCTAGTCTGTGTATTCGGTATCGGCTCGACTCAACTCCTAATAAGCATTCCTCTCGTCAAACAATGACACAAATTCTTCAAGTTAATCCGCTCATTCCGATGTTATTTTATTCTCCACAAAACAGTTTAAAAAGAAACAAATCGGAAACTCACGTTTTGGGAATCGTGTGCTGCGAATGCCAATACGAGCTCTGAAATCCTTCAAAATGTCGAGAACGCGTACTGCGTACAAACTTTAATGTCGCATGGTAAACATGTATCTATTTTCTAGGGCAATTTGGGGATCTACAGTTTTCATTATTCTCGAAGATCGTGTTTTCTGGTCGGTTTGGGAATTTATATTTGTGTTTGGCCAACTATTACACACCTTCTGTACCCGGAAGTAACCTTTTTAATATTATTATTTATTGGTCAACCGTTATAATTATATTATTATATTTAACTCATTACATTATTATCCTGTCGAGGCAGGAGACAGCAGATCGGAGAAGAGAAAAGTTATCGATAGTCGAGGACACGATTGTATGTACCGTGTAAAGACGAATATCTAGCCTTGTCCTTGACATAGCTTACTAGTGGTACTACTAGTTTGACAACTTTCTTCCCAACCAAATGTTCAGAATGGCTACACGCAGCGAGAGTTTGGTACCACCTAAGGTGGATGACAATTTTATTTGCTCGATTTGTCTTGAAGTATACCGCAAACCTGTCACAATTACATGTGGACACACGTTAGTATAACATTTTTAAATTTCACACTTGCATACCCGTATCTTAAAAATACTTAATTAGAGGTTGTTATCCCTGTGAAATTATTTTGATATGGCATTGTGTTTACTCATCACAAATGGATAATCTACCAGTCAAAGCCCTGTATAGAAAGCCTTTTTCTCTCAGTTATTGTTTGCCTTTACCTGTTTGCACATTTTGTAATGATCTAAAACTTTTAGGTGAGAACGTTACATTTCTGATATTCAAAACATACAATTTATACCATACTTCCTGGTCATAAGTAAAGGTGGGCGTATACCCGAGAACCACCTTATAAAATGAAATTATGCCACCATTGTACCTCAACATTATTGATGTGCACAATGTCACAAGTGATTTTGGTACTTCAGTTGTCTGTATCATGATTATTTTTTTTTGTACAGGTTCTGTCGAGAATGTCTAAAACCATGCATAGCGACTGCAGCACCACAGTGCCCAGTCTGCAGGGCAGCATTTGATTGTAAAGGGAAAGTGAGAAATAATGAAGTAGACCGCAGGATGTCGTCTACTCAAACTACTTGTAAAGGCTGTGGAACAGTAGTATGTACATTTTTGTGTCACCTTACAGTCCATTTAGCTAGCTGAGGCTAGCTTAGCTTGCTTTCAAAACTCACATGTTTTCCTGCTTTAAGGACAATTTTTTTTTTTTTAAAAGATGTGATTTTAAACAATTATTCTTTTAATTCTGGTTTAAATTTACCTTTGGATACCAAAACAAAATGGCCATTCAACCAAATGGACAAAAAATATCAGTTGAGGAAATGGTTTTCAAGGAAACATTGACTCTTCAGAAAAAAGATGGCTTCTATATTTATTACTGTCAGTAACTATTTTAATTGTCTTTCTCAGATGATGTATTCTAAACTAAGGTCCCATAATTCTACCTGTGTTAAAGTGAAGGATTCCCCCAATATAAAATTTAGTCCAGTAGCTGAGACGTCCCAACAGATTCCTAAGTAAGTATACTTTTGTCATTTATTTATATCAAGTCTGTAGCTATACCATACATATGGTATACTGTAAAAACCCTGTTAATAATCTGTAGTAACAATAATTACTTTTTGAAAAGTGAGATTTAATAGGGTACAAATGTTTTTTTTTGTGCATTAATTAATAGAATCATTCAAAAAATATTAACCTTTTTTTGCCTGAATAACAATAGACACCAACAGATGTAATATTTGCCATCATGGTATCTAGCAGTTTTAAATGAGAATTCATGCACACACATGTTTTGTTCCAATTTGTAGAAAATACCCAGATCTGCCAAAAAATAAAATTTTGACATTCTAATTACGCCCAAATAGACATTCATAAAACTAGGTACTCTTGTTTTCATTTCATTGTTGAATTAATTTAGATGCAACAGAAATGTAAAGCTTCGTAACGGAGAACTTAGTCAATCTGTGGGGCTTGTACTGGCTCGGCGTCAATCAGTTATCCAATCAAAGAAGTTATCCACCCATCAGGTCACTCGTGGCATTTGTATATGGTTGTGATGAACTTCCATCCTTTCAACAACATGGTGTCAAAGTCATCAATGCTGAGCAATGTTTTCTAATTATGTCTGTTTTGATGTAATGTTATGATATATATTCATTGTTTTACTAGTAAAGCAATTTTTTGCCACATACCTGTATTTATGTTTATGCATGTCATGAGGAAAATTTTGTTTGAACACCGTGAATAAATAATTTACAATCTATCATATATTATGCAGAAATGTGTACCATTTCATAAATGTCATCTTTATATTGTACTTGGAATGGTGTGCATGATGCGCCATATTTGCTCTCATAGTAGGGCATTAGTTGATGTAAATGAGGTGTATCTATGGTCAAAATAATTCATATTTTAATGATGCAGTATCCAGTAAAAACATTTTTGGTTTATGCATGCTTTTCAGAACTGTGTTTTTAATACAGCAAATACAATATATATTCTTTAAAATCACCATATCTACATGAAAGGTTGATTATATAGGGTTCTCTCCAGCTTGGTGGCAAAATTCTTTGTTTATATCCCTGCGGACAACTAGTGTGTTAATTTATAAAATACCTAATTTGCATATCATAAATCTACCACTTTGCCAAACTAGATGAGAATGTCTATAATACACCCTCATGATGTATGCTTTCCATTTTATCCAGCGATCTTCCTAACCGATCAACATTTGCATGTCCGATCTGTCATTTAAAGAATTTTGATTCAGCATCACTGGTCAAGCATTGTAACGATGAACACGCTAATGTTCTATCATCAGTGGTAAGTTATAAACTTGTATTGTGTATGGCATATTATTAGGACGAGACTAGTACAAAATGTGGAAAATTTTAAAATATTTCAAATTATGCTTCAATTTTAATAGAGCAAAATTATCCCTCGAATAAAAGAACTAGTGAATGAAAAGACGGGAACTTGCAACTGTCTTTGTGATTTTGTCGTAACGTAAACCCCTATACGAGCAGTGATTCCAATCCATAAAGGTTTTATCATATGCCGTATAATTTCCATACAAAATAATGCAATTGTTGTGAGGCACTGGTTCATTTATGTTAGCACAGTTACTTTTTTAGTAACCGTGAAGTCAGTTATTAATGTTATTTCTACAATTTATTCAAACATTCCAGTTTGATTTCTGTGTGTTTTGATACTACAACATCAACAAGACACGCCAGCTTTCTAACATTCAGTTGCTATTATCTAACTCTTTTGAACCAGATGTGTAATCACTCAAATGCATATTAATTTGAGTTTGAATCAAAAATATGTTTTTCCAAATATGGTCAAACAGAGCCAGGAATGATTTTGCAAATTATAGCACGGTTCTCATAGCGTTACAAGGCCTGGCAATACAAGGTATATGGTAAACCACACTAACTCTTGCTTCACAAATAATTAATTTTTTTAATTCAATAAAATTCTCACTGAAAAATGCCATAATTTATAGTAAAATGGACTCACAAATGACTATAGGCTACTGATATCAAATCTGATTTACACATCCATGTTTTACTTTATATTATCATAGGTATGTCCGATCTGTGCCTCAATGCCATGGGGTGATTCAAATTTAAGAAGTTCCAATTTTATCAGCCATCTTAACTTAAGACATAAGTTTGAGTATGAGACATATGTGGTAAGTGAAATATCAGAAGCATTTCTATTTCCTTTTTTTTTGACGTCCATTCATCATATTATTTTTGGGATGATTTTGTAAAATCCTTTTCTACAATATTTTTTAGCACAGTTCATGATAAGGACTGTGGTTTTATCCAGTATAATATTTTAAAATTAACTCATTGGTTATCATTTTGCAGGGTATTTAAATAAAGAATTTTGCCACCAACCCATCCAGTAGTTGACTACTACTATAAAATGTACCCTATATATTATGTAAACACAGCATGCAGTCCACCGCTTCAAGAATCTAACATTACCGGTAATTTTTTGGGGAATGATATATACCCAATTATTTCAAAAAAGACAAAAAGACAATTCCTGATTCTTGAACTGTTAATCCAATCGACTTCTTGTTATAACCGCAAGTCCAATTGCTTTGATATTACATAATATAGGTACTACATGTGGACCTCTCTCAGATTTGTTCATTTTGTAATGATATCTTTAATTCTCTAATATTGGTGAATATTTTTGTCATTTTTGGTAAATGTAATATTTTCGACTTCTTGTTAAAAAACGCAAGTCCAATTGCTTTGATATTACATATATAGGTACTACATGTGGACCTCTCTCAGATTTGTTCATTTCATGATGATATCTTCAATTCTCTAATTTTGGTGAATATTTTTGTCATTTTTGGTAAAAAGTGATATTTTCGATTTCTTGTTAAAAATCGCAAGTCAGATTGCGTTGTTATTACATATATAGGTACTACCTTTGGACCTCTCTCAGATTTGTTCATTTTGTGATGATATCTTCAATTATCTAATTTTTGACTCCCGTGTGCGAAGCACAAAAGGGAGTCTTTGCAGTTACCCTGTCTGTATGTATGTCTGTATGTATGTCACTTTTTTTGTTCCATCGTTATCTCAAAAACCACTAATCAAATTTTGGTGAAACTTAGTACATAGATGCTCTTGGATAATACGCAGAGTTGTTTAGGTTTTGGTAAAAATTCATGAATATTAATTACTTAATTTGCATGATAATTAGCTGATTTTTAGCTGTTCCATGACTGTTCCACTGATATCTGAAGAACCACTCATTGGATTTTGATGAAACTTGGCACATGGATGCTCTGAACTAGTGCGCAGATTTGATTAGTTTTGGGTAAAAATCTATGAATATTAATTACCTAATTTGCATAATAATTAACTGATTTTAAGCTGTTCGATGACTGTTCCACTGATATTTGAAGAACCACTCATTGGATTTCGATGAAACTTGGCACATGGATACTCTGAACTAATGCGCAGATTTGATTAGTTTTTGGTAAAAACCTGTTTATATTAATTACCTAATTTGCATAATGATTAATCAATTTCCGGCTTTGAATTCCACTGATATTTCAAGTACTAATCATCACATTTTAATTAAACTTACATAGATAGACCTGATAGTTTTTAGGGTAATATCAGTACATATTAATTACCTAATTTGCATAATTAATTAATTTTCATCTTTTGATATTTCGAGTAGTAATGATCACGTTTCAATGAAATTTGGTACATAGTTACTTGAGGACTGTGCAGACCCCTAATCAGTTTTTGGGTAAATATTTGTGCATATTAATCACCTTATTAGCATAATTAGTTAATTTTTAGCTTTTCACCTGATACAAATGTATCTCAGGTACTAATCATCACATTTCAATGAGACTTGCGACATAGCTCTTCTAGGACTATGCAGAGATCTGATTAATTTGGGGATAAATAATTGTGCATATTAATTACCTAATTTGCATAATTAGTTAATTTTTTGCTGTTTTATGGCTGTTGCACTATCTAAAAAAACACTCATTGGATTTTAATGAAACTTTTAAAGAGTACCCATCACATTTCAATGAACCTAGGACTATACACCATATTAGTTTTTGGTAAATATTTATGCTTCTTAACCACCTAATTAACATAATTAATTAATACTGATATCTCAAGTATTGATCATCACATTTGAATAAAACTTGGTACATAAATGCTCTAGGACAATAGACAGCCTGATTAATTTTGGGTTAAAATCTGTTTATATTAATTATCTAATTAGCATAATAATTAATAATTTGTTGGTTCTAATCACATTTCAATGAAACTTGGTACATTGTGCAGACCTTATTAGTTTTACACTTAAATCTGTTCATATTAGTTACCTTATTTGTATAATTAGTTTTCTGCGTTTCCATCAATATCTCAAGTATAAGTAATTTTGAATTAATTTTTAATGTGTCTCCAATACTCTCAGCACACAGGAGTTCTTTCTAAGCTTTCTTTGATAATGATTATTTTTGGCATTATCAGTAAATAGTAATATTTTCAAATTCTTGTTGAAAACAGTAAGTCCGATTGCTTTGATACTATACATATTGTTCATTTTCTAATGATATTTTTGATTAATTGAAATGTGCATTGCTAACAGCAGAGCTATCTCAGTCGTCAGGCTGCTCGTTATATTTTTGTCCTACTCTTGCCCATTTTTACGCATACGCAAATAGAATTACAGTGCTTCTGTCAGAAATTGTGTCATAATAATTCATTATTGTACATTGTACTTGCAATATATCTGTAATTATTAACAATAAATAAAACAAACATTTATTTACATTCCTAGGATTATGAAGAAGATGATGATGAAATGTTACAGGCTGCACTGAAGGCTTCACTACAAGAATCATCCTAGTAATGATCTCAAGTCTATTGAATGTTTCATAAAACTTAAAATACAACCACCTCGTATGTGTAGAAGTAGTAACAATGTACTCTTTATTTTCATGTATTTATGTTAGTTCATGGGAAACCATATCTAACACGATCCTTCTCCTATGAAATGAATGTATTGTTGCAAACATCTAAATGCACATGCAAATTAAATGCATAGTTACACCAATGAAAAGTGTTTGAATTGGTTATAAAAAACCACCATCTTGTTTCCGTCAAGTGCAGGCTTGCTTCAGTATTCCAATATCTTGGGATTTGTTGCCAAACAAACTAAATTTGTCATTTCATAATTACAATAGTTAGTGGGAGGTGCTTTGCAAAAAGTAGATTAATAGAAAGATCAATTGTTAACTGTATTGACCATTTTGTATGTTATATTAATGATCATAAACTGTTGATGTTACTGATTATGAAATACCATCATGATCACAAATCAAGTATAGAGTTCAGTGTTTATATGTACACGCAAGTTTGTGTAGATACATCACCTTCAATTACTAGCAGAATAATTGGTGACTTGAAAAGTATTTTAATTATGTAAAAATTTGAAGTTATTTGTACTTTGAGTCATATAACAAAGTCAATAATTGAAATAATTTCATTGACCTTACAATTACAAGCATTAGTTTCCAGCAATTTATTTACAATTACTGATACTGTAATTTGTCAACAAAATAATGTAATGTATTCATGACAATAAATGTTATCCAATTCTCAACTGTGTTTTCTTAAACAGCTTTTTTCCTTTTTTGGCAAAACTTGAAGTTCTCAAATCAACACACTGAATGCCTTGCTGGATAAAATTTCTGCCCTTACTGAAATGTGACAAAAACATGAAAACATTGCATGATTTCAGAACAATTGTCGCTGTATTCCTAGATATCCTTAATTTCTTGCAAAACTAACCTATAAAACCAGACAATTTTACTGCATTCTGCTAACAAGTTCTGTTGTTTGCCTACCAAGTTCCTGCCTATTACTTTTTTAACTAGCTGTTTATTTAAACAACATTCTTTATTGTATTATTTTCAAGATCCCAATAAGGATACAAAATCAATAAAGTTACTTACTTTACTATTACAACTTTCCCACCTTCACTCTCCTTTTTAGACTACTGTGAAATCAGTATTAGAATCCGCAACTTCTATTGAAATGGTACAATGCAGCAGAGAGGATGCGGCTTCTATTAGAGCACCTACACGTACGAGAAATGATGAATTTTTGGGCCTCATTGTTCAAAAATAATGGGTGCGGCTTCTAATACAGATTTTATGGTATATCCTGCTTCTCAAATTCATTTTTGCCCTCAAGCAATATTTACCACACTCTCAATCCCCCAGGCCACTTTTTTGCCTTTTTGTGGTTTATCTTTCCCGTTAAGAGTTAACTTTCTTGCTTTATCTGAAAGGCTGCTGGGAGGGTAACCCAGTTTTCCAATAAACTTGTTTTGCTTTTCAGTCCATGTTTTGTCTTCCTGCCTATACTGGTACAACTTTGTTGTATTGATATGTACTTCCAATTTAAACTTGTTTGCTTTCTCAATTACTTCACGATGCATTTCCCACACTTTGCATTGAATGCTCCTGTCTTCTCTGTCCTCACAGACTATGTTATCATATTCCAAATTCTATCATCTCCTTATAAATATTTTGCCTTTCCATTCAAAACCTTTCATGACTACAGGCCTTCCCATGCTTTCCTCTGCAACAAGTAACTTGCTAGACTTCCCAGACAATTTAGTTGCCTTTAAAGAAAATTTGTATTTCATTGTTTTTTTGTATTATACACATCTCTATTTGGTTTACTCATACGCTTTCATAATCCATTGTTTTGCTTTCCCAAACAAAATCTTGATCGTTTGGTTTTCATGTAAAACGGTGATGCCAATATTATATTAGCTTTATTTATATTTATTATATTTTTCGGATGGAAATAAATATGAAAAATAATAAACTCTAATGAAATCAAAATAATTCACATAAAATATCGGTAACCCCAATATTTATTGTATGATCTTCCTGTCGTAAAATATATTCGTACTGATCAATAATCACCACTTCTATTTTTTATAATGCTTCTGAATTACCACAATGCATCATTCCATTTGTTCCTTCCTGTATGTGAGTGTTGTCAATCTTCCTCCTCGAAATAACGGTGATGGAATATAAGCTCTGATCACTGTGTTCAGAATAAATATGTTAATGATAAAGAAGGCAATGCCAGCTAAGAAGATAGAGATGAATGTATTGTACCCTTCCATTTCCAGATAAAATGCTGGCAGCAACCACAAAGCCTAGAAGACAATGATATAATCTAGGAATTAGAAAAATAAATTTTTAAATCACGAGTCAAATATTCCTGGCCATATGAATTTCATGAGAACAGTAATTGCTACGATCTAATCAATGAACCGGTCACAGGTAGCATAGGGGTTGTCGCATCAGACTCATGATCGGTAGACCCAAGTTCAAATCCTACCTTAGGCTGAACATCAAAAGGGTCAACGCCTACCCTGGGCGAGTGTGCCACAGACTCAATGGGAAGGCCAATTCCACTGGCCGAAATTCATTCACTAATGCGACTTTGGGGGAACCTTGGTTAAGGTCCTCAGGTGCTTGTGTTCGACCAAGATAGCGCATTAAATTGCCATTTAGGATAGGATAGGATAGGACATAGCTGTATCCTGCCTCACCTTGCATCGCAACTATCTTTTGTATGCTGCCCTCAAATGTAATTGTTTGAAACATAGCAGGATTACATTATACTTCCCGATTTCACTTTGATCATAAAATAGTATTCAACTCACTGTTGATGACTTACTTTCGATAATATTGTTTATTTTCACACCTTAAAATGACTCACGAGCATCTATGGCGGACTCGCAGTAACACAGAGGCGATGAACTGGAACCAAGTCTAGTCATATCAGAATATGCTGAATACAAATGTACACATTGACGTATGACAAAAAATTATTTATAAGTCTCACCTGGCCAAAGAACCATGATGCAATCAACATTAGAGCTGTGCGAATCTTCATCTGAAGTGTTGGTATTACCAAAGGCAATAAACATAGATACCACAGAAAATACTGCATATGAAACAAATGTGTAAATATGAAATATGCAATCAATATTGTTTATAAAAACATATCTAGAAAATAAAAATTCCCAACAGTATATAAAGCAAATCTGATCAAAATTTATTCTGAAGTTTTTTAAATATTGCTCATTTTCATCTTCAATTACTGTTGGCAGTTCACATATACCTTTTGTAACTTCAGTCAAAAATCTTGGTGTTACATTAGACAGCAGTCTCAACATGTCAGAAATGTGTGTAAGGCGGCATACATTCAGCTAAGACAAATAAGTTTGATTCGCCATTATTTGACCCCTGATGCTACCAAGACATTTGTACTCTCTTGTCTAGATTATTGTAATAGTCTACTGGTCGGCTGTCCTCTCACTATCACAAACAAACTACAACGTGTTCAAAACGCAGCTGCCCGGTTAATTTGTAAATCAAAGAAATCGGATCTTGTCAGTCCACTCCTAAAATCACTGCACTGGTTACCAATTACATCTTTTATACATTATAAAGTTGGAACTATTTGTTACGATTCCATAGCTGCCACCGGTCCATCATACATATCACAACTACTTCAACTATATACTTATATATACATGCGATTCAACCAAAACATATAGTGAACGCACATTTGCTTATATTGGCCCCGCTACCTGGAACAATCTACCATATCATGTCCGCCACTCAAGTTCTCATGACTCTTTTTGTAATAGGTTGAAGACTCACCTATTTGATTTGAATTGAAATTTACTTTTTTGTTATGTGCTTAGAGCTAATTTAGGTTAAGCGCAATATAAATACTCTTTATTATTATTATTATTATTACAGACATAATAATATGCAAGATACCCCCAATATGCAAATAGGCATAGACATGGCCCTAAAGCTAATCATCTCTGCACACTATCCCAAGGTACCTAATTACTTAATTTACTGTAATGTACTTAATTTGATCAAAATTTACTAGGAAGTTTTTGACATTTTGCTTACACAGGCTGAAATGAGATACTAGTAATACATATACAAATTAGCTACTTAATATGCATGGACTTGGCCCCAAAACTAATCGTGTCACCCCAAGGTACCTTAAAACCAAATTTGATCAAAATTCTCTTTGAAGTTTGCTGAAACAGGCTGAAATGAAATAATTAATAAGCAAATTAGCTACTTATTATGCATGTACATGGTCCCTAAACTAATCATTTTTGCATGCGTAATACTCCAATGTACTAAAATTGTAACAATTTCAGTTTTCAAGATTTTTGCTAACTCAGACAGACAGACATACTAAACCAAACCAAACCAAGCTTTGCACACATGGGAGCTAACAATAAACAGGAATACAATCAAGAAGACTGGTGAAAGTGCATATAGAACAATCTGCAGGCTATATTTGGACAGGATTCAAGGGTCAAGTGAATGAATGAATGAATGAAATTTATTTTATCAAAAAAACAACGGTAAAGGTAGAAGTTGCACAGGTAGTAAATGCATATAAATAAATAAATAAATAAATAAATAAATAAATAAATAAATAAATAATTAAATAAATAAATAAACAAATAAATAAATAACGAATTCTACTTAGATAACTTTTCTTTTTTTTGGTGGGGATTACAGATGTAGTTCATCAGAACTAGTAGAGTCCGTAACCCCTGTATATATAATTTCATAGTTTAATCACACAAATCTCCAAATAAAGAAAGAAAGAGAAAAAATATTACAAATCAAATTTTTACGAGATAGTTTTTTAATTTTGCTTTAAATATACGTCTCTTAGTGATGGTTTTAAATGCATCAGGCAAAGAGTTCCAATGTTTTGTTGCAGAG